GTAGATCGCGCTTCCACTCTAGGCGTTGCAAAGTTCGCTTTCGTGATTACATCAGGGATACGCTCGGTGATCTTGACAATCATGAACAGCAACAAGCCCCTGAAAAACCTCAAGTAAAAATCAACCCGAATCCTGAAGTCGTGGAGTTTGAAGAAGAGAGCTTGGACTACGAGCCCAGTCTTCCTGGGTCTCCTGTTCCTGAGGATCTGCAGCACCTGGTGCCCGAACCCTCACAAGCAGCCCAAGACTCTGAGCTCCCTCAGGAGTATCTCCCTGGTGGGGACGTTGAGATGGATCAGGTTGATATGGACGACTACACTGTGCCCATGGATGTTGCTCAGGTCCCGGATGTCCTTGACAGTACGAGCATGCCTCAGTTCATGTTCTCAGTGATTCCGGACCAGAAGCATCACCTGAGTCCTGTTGATTACGGTGAGGTTGGCTTGTTTGCTGCACAGCTTAAGAGAAAAGCGCCCGCTCAGCACAGTAACCCCGATGAGGGGGTGACCATGCCTTTCGGCGATCGAGAGGTGTGGGTCATCAAGCCCACTTCTGTGGTTGATGATGTCAGTGGCTTGCCTTTGGATCCTGAGAAAACGTGGGTTGGCATGCAGAAAGAGGTGTCTGCTATGCACAACTTGGGTGTCGGCAACGCCCGCACCTATGATGAGATTAAGACCCACTGCCAGGAGACAGGTGCCAAGATCATTAAGTCGCGTTTTGTCTTCACTGACAAGGTTGATGTTGACGATCAGCACATTGTGCGTGCGCGCCTTGTTGCAAAAGACTTTGCTTTCAATCAACCTTCGGCGCTTGACTTGGGCATTGCGAGCCAGACTGCTTCTGTGGAGGCCTTCAAGGCTTTCATCTGTCGTGTTGTCCAGGATACGCTTGTCCTTTGGGGACTTGACGTTTCGACTGCCTTCTTGTATGCCAAGTTGGTTCTTGATACCGTGCTTGAGTTGCCGGGATGCTTTCAGAACCTTGATGGCTCTAAGGTTTACGTCATCCTGGAGAAAGCCATATATGGCTTGAGATCGGCAGGCCTTTCGTGGCAGAAGCATCTTGCTGGACTTCTTGCTGAGTTGGGATTGTTTCCTTCTCTTATTGAACCTACGTTGTACAAAGGGTATTGGGGAGACATCCTTGTGCTTTGTCTTGTGTACGTCGACGACATCTTGCTAGCCACAAGAACGAAAGAGGCAAACCAACAGCTTCTAGACTTCCTCATGGGCCGTCTTAAGGTCAAGTTGACTGGACGCTTGGATGAGGACGGCAGGATCGGATTCCTAGGCCGTGAGATAATCAAGCGTGGCCATGAGATCTTGTTGGCTGTGAAGAAAGAATACGTCGATTCGATCTTCGAGGCTTTTGGGTGGAGCCAGGAGAACCGCAGGAAGATGAAGCCCTGCACTGCACCACCAGACCTCCGATCGATCCTTGACAAGGAAGACCCCGAGAAGCCCTCCGAAGAGCTCTCCCCTGAAGCCGCGAGCCGCTTTAGAAGCACCCTAGGGAAACTAGGCTGGCTTGTGCAAACCAGGGGGGATTTGTGTTATTTTCACTCCATGCTGTCTAGAGGTCAAGCCTGTCCGCGCGCTGTGCATGAGGATTGTATGCGTAAAGTGCTTCGTTGGCTTTTGGAGGTTCCCGATCTTGTTCAGGTCTTTCAGAAGGACTCCAAAGCTCAACCTGGGACTGCAACCCTCGTTGGATTCAGCGACGCTAATTGGGCCTCTGAGCGCTCTACTGGACGGAAGAGCACCAGCGGAGGAGTGATTTACCTGAATGGGAATTGTATCAAGACTTACTCGAGGCTCCAGCCTATCGTAGCACTCTCCAGTGCGGAGTCTGAGCTTTTCGCTATGGTTGAGATGGCGCGCGAGCTTGTAGGATTGGGGCAGCTTTTGGGCCACCTTTTCGAAAGCGTTGCGCAACCCCTATACCTGCCTACGGACAGCTCTTCCGCTCGCCAAGTCAGTATGATGTCCGGCTTCCTGAGAAGGATGCGTCATGTGGACCTTCGTCTTTGCTACTTGCAGGATAAGGTTGAGAACGGCGAGATCCTGGTTACACACGTCCCAGGAACGGATAACGTCGCCGACTTGCAAACAAAGAACTTGAGTGTCGCGCAAACTTGGTATCATATAGGACAGTTGTGTCTTGAGGAACGTCTCACCCGTAGTGACTATCTTCGAGGTGATGCGCCCCCGGTCCGTTGCCTTGTGTTTGCCGCGTTCAAAGGTCTGTTTTCTGCAAGCGTCGATGATCCTTGGAGTGTGTTGGTTGGTCGTTGTCGGTTGCAGACACCGCATTACATTGTGATGGTCGAGTTCTGCACCTCTGGAGAAGCCTGGTTGACTAAGCTTGCTAGCCACTATGGCATCCATGCTATTCCCGTGACGGAAGAAACGGATGGGACTCTTCCGGAGACCATCGAGCTCATTGAGCATGCGCTTCGTTCGGCGCACCGTCGGAACATGCATGTTGTTGTGTGGGCTTCGACGCCCTGTACCGGTGGTTCGCCTTGGCAGCGGTATCACCAAGCCCGATCTGCAGATCACTATGATGATAGAATTAAGGGACTCTTCACAGTCCACAGAAAGCTCTGGAAGAGCTTCTTGAAGCTAGTCAACACATCTGATTCGGCAACTTGGGTCATTGAGTGGCCGCAACGTTGTGCTTACTGGGGATGGTCCGCTACGAAGTCATTCCTTAAGATCAATCCGCATGAGACCGCTCTTGTGCATGGCTGCGCCTGCGGTATGGTTGGAATGGACGCACTTCCTGTGAAGAAGGTTTGGAGGTTGTGCTCGAACAGTCATGTTCTCATTCACTGCATGGATAAATTAAAGTGCCCTGGAAACCACGAGCATAGTAAGATGTTCGTTCTGAAGAACACCCAGCACTACCCCGAAGCTTTTGCTCACACAGCTCTTAGGGCTTTGAGTGCTTGGTAGGTGCTGACGCCTCTTTGTACAGCCGCAGCCGTTTTTGGAAGAGCCATAAAACTATCGTGGACCGTGAGAAGATCTACGAGCCCAATACGCAACAGCAGCCACTGGACCGGTACCTTTTCTCAACGACAGGTTCATGACGGGGAGTTGATTTTCAATCCTTGGCTCAAGTCTGGCTCGAGCCCTGCTTTCAGAGGTGGGTGTTCTGCGTAGGGAGCGTAGCTGTTTTCAACCGAGCCTCTGGGCCTTAACTGTCGTTGGGGCAACAGGACTCAAACAGGAATCCCAGCTTATCCTTTCGCGAGCCATACTTGTGCAGTGCTGGCATTTTGCCAGTCACTTTCCAGCGTGCAGGTGCCGGCCCTCGCCTCCAGGGCTGAGGGCTGTTCACTCGCCTCAGGGGCTGAGAGAACAGTCATGGCAGGAGGTAGGTACTATGTGTGCAAAACCTGTGGTCCTGCAAGCTGGATTTATGCCTCTAAAGTGCAGAAGTTTGCGAAGTGCAGTTGGTGTGGCAAGCCTTGGCCCGCTGATGTACCGCAGGCACCTTGGAGAGAACCTAGCAGGCCGCGACCTCGAACTCGGCAGCCGAAGCCAGCTAAGCTAGCAAGCTGCCTTCAGAAGGTGTGGTCCACCTTGCCTGCAGATGTGTGTTTGCAGTTTGAGCAGGCTGGCTTTAAAGTGCCGGCCCCGAAGCAGGAAGATGTTGACCTACTCAGCCTTTTGCAGCGCAACCGTGATGATCTCCCCCAGGAAGTCCTGGATGCTCTGCCAGCAGCACCGGTCCCTAACCCAGTGCAGGAAGGCAAGGCTGCAGGTGTTGAGTGGCGCAACTCCGTCGGTAAGTTGCGCGACCTTGGCCAGCGTAAGTTGAAGCTGCAAGAAGACATTGACCTGGCCAAGGCCAATCTGAGGGCCCTGCTGACAAAGATGCAGGACTTGCAAGCTTCCATCCAGGAAGCACAGACTGAGGTCAACAAAGCCACTCAGGAGTATGAAACCAAGGTTCTCACGCAGTGCAATGAAGAGGCCAACCATGGAGTCGAGTCTGTGTTGCAGGCCCTGGGGATTCAGGAAGAGGCCCTTACGGAGGCCCAAAAGCGCAGTCTCGAAGCTCTCAAGAAGGAAAACGCAGACGAGGCCAAGCGCCGCAAGACCCAGCAGCAGGAGCAATTCCCGCCGGGATTGGCTCCTCAGTTGCGCTCGGCGGCCCATGTCACTGAGGCCAACAAGGAAGCCGAAGATGCCAAAGGGCCGCCCAGCCAGCCAGTCAAGGAGCGCAGCCGGTCGCCCAAGCGTGCAGGCGAAAAATCCGATGATATTTAGGGTCTCGGTGGGGGGTTGCGCCGGGGTTCTGGGTTTTGTCTTCCGGTTCTTTCTCTGTGTGAGGTTTTGCGTGACTTGGAAGTTTCGGAGCCTAGCGCAAGCCCTGACGCGTCACCTGTGCCCTATTTCAAGTGCTGGTACTGTGGCCTCCCGTTCGTGCCAACAGCCGTGGGAGTCCAGATTTGCAGCTGCAGTGCCGGAATCCATGTTCGATCTTCACCAATTGAGGCTCGGGCCAGCATTTGTCGTGCTGACGTGAGCCTGGTCGGAGCCTCACCTCAGGGTTCGAGGCTCCTGCCGACTCTGTCTGACCAGCCAGAGCAGCTAGCTGAGGGGTTTGCTTATCCCAGGGTTGTGGGACGACCCGTGTGCCCCCCCTTTAGCTGCCCACTGACTGGACCCAAGTTTTTCCACTCTGCCATTTTCTCTGAGCCAGCTGACTGCAAGCCACATGAACCATGGGACCGCAAGAAACCTTTGTTGTGTCGTGGACCGATCATGCCCTTTTTGGAACGGCACGGTTCCCACTATGATTCTGCAATCCAGTCAACAGGGTCGGCCGAATTGTCCGTTAACCCTTCAAATTCCACAATTCCGCCGATCCACTCAACAGGGTCGGCCGAATTGTCCGTTAAATACTCAAAATCCACAATTCCGCCGAGCCCATTTGAGGTGTTCCAGGGTGAGCCAGGGTCTAGTCCACCCAGCTGGGGCTGCATGCTAAACTTGAGTGCATATAAAGCTTTGCATCCTGCCTGGAACCAGGAGCCTGACCTTTTGCACCTCGCCGAAGGGCTTGAGGAGCAATGCCAGGAGGGCACCTTGGAACACTGGGTCCTTTTTAAGTCTTTGGAGGCCACTGAGATTCAGGATCACAGCCTTGAGACCTGGGCCCGCATCGCTCGTGCTTCTGAGGACTTAGTTCACTCTTTTTCCTCGGGTCAGCCTCGTACTTTCAAGTTTGTCTCGGCAAATGTGACTTCCTGGAGACCTGAACTTAGGCAGTGGCTGGTCTTTCACCAGTTTGATGTGGCCTTGATTCAGGAGCACCACCTTTCGGAGAGGGCCTTTCATGCTGAAACGGTGGCCCTCGCCAAGGCAGGCTACCATGTCCATGGCCAGCATTCCCCTGTTCGCAAGCGGGAGATTGGGGGTGTGATGGTGTGTGTTAAGTCGCATTTGCAGGCCAGGCACGTTCACACTTTTCAGGATCCTGAAACGGGCTGTGGTTTCGTAGCTGTCGCTATTCGGGTGACGGGTTTCGACCTAGCCCTCTTGTCGCTGTATCTTGAGTCAGGCAGCACTTTTGAAGGCCGGGCCAATACCTTGGTCCTGTCCAATATGTATGCAGTGGTTGCCTCGCTCAAGTGCCCGTGGTGCGTGGTTGGAGACTGGAACCTAGATGCTTGTGAGGTCCTCGCCACCAGGCTTGAGGACCTCACAAAGGGTCGGTTACTTGGTACTGGGATGCCTACTGCAGGCACCGCAGCCGAGCTGGACTATGCACTGGTCCACCCCCGGTTGGCCTCGCATCTTTCGCTTGAGCTTGCCTGGGATGTTCCCTTTAAGCCCCATGCGGCGCTTAAGTGCACCCTTCCTCTTAAGTCTTTGCAGGACCTCCAGCCAAATTTGCGCTCCATCACTGACTCCTTTGACCCTATTCTTGACGACCAGCGCAATTTGCAACCCCCGGTTGTGTCACCGCAGAGGGTCACCCTCCTGGAAATCGAGGCTTGTGACCCCGCCTCCCTCGCCTTTGCGGAGTTTTCTGCCACCGCTGAGGCCTCAGGTTTACTCGGTAGGACCATGGGCAGGGGGGTAAACTTGCCGACGATTCGTCAGCCGGCCGTGTCGCAACCCCCCAATGACTACCAGTGGTTTGGTCACGAGCACGCTGTCTGGTCCCAGCTCGCAGGCCGGTTCAAGGCTGGGGGGCCGCCCAATGAAACCCTTTCCCTGCTCTCCAAGCTCGGCCCTGAGCATCATCAATGGGCAGACGAAGCCCGGGACACTGTTTCAAATCATCGTGACCTCGCTGCCCTGAGGTCCCATGCTGAGGCGCAGGCCAAGCTTGCTAAGACCGCTCAGCAGGGAGCGCAGGCGGAGTCATATCAACAATGGCTGTTTGGAGCCCTGTCGGCTGGCATGGGGCCGGTGTATCGTGCTCTTAAAAGCCACGAACAGACTCTCGCCCGGCCCTTTCGGGACCAGTCGGCCCTTGCCCGGGCTTACTGTCGCATGGAGTTCTGGAGCCGCATCTGGGATGCGTCAATTGTGCCGCCGCAGCCTCACCTGTCTGCAGAGCGCCTCGCCTTAAGGGCTGAGGCCCTGCAGCAGGCGCAGGATCTGTCACCGCTATCTTGGGAGCAGGTCAAGACAGCGTGCCTGGCCACGGGCAACAAGAAGGGAGGCCTTGATGGTTGGTCGTACAAGGCTCTGCGTAACCTCCCTGACTTCTGCTACCGACAGCTTGCGGGGCTCTTTCGTCTTGCTGAGACGGACCTTACTTTGCCGCTTCAAATGCTTACGGTGCAGGTCGCCCTTCTTGCAAAAACCCCAGAAAAAGAGCGCCCCATATCTCTCACATCGGTCCTTTGGCGAGTGTACAGCAAGCTGCGACGCCCGCTCCTGGAGAGCTGGTTAAAGGAGTACGCGGCCTTTGCCCCTTTCGACTCCGCCACCCCAGGACACACTTCCCTTGACCCAGCACTTTCTCGCTTGATCAAGGCAGAAGATCATAAATTTCGCAAAGTTACTTTCATAACTTTGTTCGTTGATCTTGAAGGTTTCTATGATGGGGTAGATTTTTCTCGACTGATATCACAGGGCAAAGCTTTGTCATTTCCACCTTTGCTTTTGGAACTTAGTCTTCAGCTTTACAATGGGCCTCGTTGTCTCCATGGCGAGGGGGTCAGCACTGTTGCTTTGTGGCCCCAGAGGGGCATCCTTCAGGGGTGCCCGTACGCACCCACGGTTGCAAAACTCACCACTCATGCTCCGCTGCAGGGCATCTCCCAGCACCGTGGGGTCAGCCATGCTGATTTATGGCTTGATGACATCAGTGTCGATGTGTCTCATGCTGACCCGGAGGTTGCGGCCTCTTTGGCCCTGTCGGCCTCCAGGAAATTGGAGGCCCTGCTTTCCGTTGAGAAGCTTTGCGTTAACAAAACCAAAACCAAGTTTGTTGTCAATAGTGCCAAGGCGGCCAAAGCACTCAACAGTATGCGTGTTGAAGGCGATCCTCAGGTTGCTGACTTGGTCCGGGACCTTGGACTTGACTCGGCAGGTGCCAAGCGCAGAAGGGTTACGCATGCTTTGAAACGCTTCAAGGTCGGCCGCGCCCGAAACCAGAAACTTCACCAACTTGGCACAGGCTGCAAAGCCCACAAATTGTATGCCACTTCCATTCTTACGGCCGAGATCTATGGTTGCCAGGGACAGGGCTTGTCCCCCAAAAGGCTCAAGGTCGTTCGCGCATCCATCTCCAGGCATGTTGGGCGGTCCAAGTGGGGCTCTGTCGACGTGTCTCTGGACTGTATGTCCTTTCGTTGCCAAGACCCATTGTTGACAGTTGTCCTTGCGCAGGCTGATGCTTTGTATAAAATGTTCGGCCCCTCCACGGCACAAGGCTGGGAAATCCTAGCCCGCACCTGGAAGGTGGCCTGGACTCGCCAAGAGGCGGCCGTGCATGGATGGAAGTGTGTTGCAGGCCCGGTTGCTGCTATGGTGCAGTATTGTATTGATTTGCGCATCAATGTCAGTGATCCTCTGCGCTGGGTTCATAGCAGCGGGGTTCTTCTGCTTGATGTCACCAACCCTGGCCTTTTCCTGTCAGTTCGCCGCTTTCTCACTCAGGTTGTTGCCCTTGAAAGGGCTTCCCGCTTTGGTGCAGTCCTCACGGCCCAAGGTGCCCAGCAAGGAGTTGACTGGTCAGTCCACCGAAAGCTCTTGAAGGTTTCCAAGCTTTCATCCCCGCGATGGGCCTTTCACGCCGTGTGGCAAGGACGCACCTTGCACGCTGGGAACGGGGGGTTTTCGCATTGCGCATGCGGGGCTGAGAATACCCTGCACCATGTCTACTATGAGTGCCCGCTTGCGCCTGCTAAGTTAAGCCCGGCCCTCCGTAGTTTTCAGCGCAAACACCCAGACCCCTGCTTCTGGCTACGAGGATTGGTCCCAAAGGCTTGGACGACCCCGCAGGTCTCGGCCTCAGCTTTGGAAACCAGGGTGACAGGGCTGTTTTGTCATCAGCCGGTTGATGTCACTGGGCTCCTCATAGGTACTGATGCTAGCGGAGGTCCCAATACCCACGACCCTCGCCTTAGGGCTGTAGGGTGGTCGGTCGTGCTTTGCGAACTCCGCGCTGATTGCCTTATTGAGCACGGGACCATCTCAGGCCTTCTTCCGCCGGGCAGCACGGTGCCTCAGGGGGAGTCCCTCGCAATCATTGAAGCCCTCAAGGCCACCACTGGCAGCTTTGACCTCACAGGTGATTGCAAGCCGGCTCTCAAAGCCCTGGCTGCCAGAGCTCTCAACAAAAAACATATCCCTGAATGGGGTCCAGTCTGGCAGGAGCGAGCAAGGGCTCAACCGCACTGGGTTAGGAGCCACTGCACGGCTGAGGCCTTTGAGGCTGAATTCCCTGGTCAGCTTTGGCGCCGCGAGCTCAATGCCAAAGCAGACACTCTCGCAGGGAGCCGAGCTGCTGCTGCATGCACCCCGCATTTTGTACGCAAAGTAAAGGAACTCGACCTGGTAACCCGGGAACTCAACTGTTTTCTCGCCTCCAGGGCTGAGAAGCTGATCAAGGAAAAAGCCCAGGGTTTTGTTCCCCGCTCCGCTAGAGATTCCTTAAGCCAGTTTGACAAGCCTCGGTCGCAAGCTGCAGCTGTGTCTGCAAGCACTAAAGTTCCGCCGCCTAACAAAAAACAGCGCCTGAAGCAGTTGCTGGACTCCCCTGATCCAGCACTTGGTCATGATTGGAAAGCCCGCGAGACTAAGGCCGCCAACAACTTCTCGGTTTATTGCGAAAAATGCAATTTATATATTGAACAATGTCATTCGCTTGATGTTTTCAATCGCAAAATTACACACCCGTGCCGTGGTGTTGCTGCAGCTGTGCCGCCCAGTTGGAAAATACACCCCAGCCATGACATGCATAATCGAGGATCTCACTTTTTGTGTGCCAAGTGTTTGGCCTGCATAAAACTTGGCGCGGTCTCGCCCTCGTCCCTTCTTCAGTCTGCATGTAAAGGCTTAGGGCGTAAAGTAAACAGTGGCACCAAGGCTTGCGCCTTGGCACAGGTTGGTGGAGCCTCCACCCGATCTATTGCCAGTGCTTTTCAATCTGCCAGCACCTTCGGTGCCGGCCCTATGCCAGAGCGTGTTTCTGCAGTTCCTAAGCTTGGCCTTTTGAGCGCTGCCCAGGTCAACCCTCCAGCTGGGCCCGTCGCCTCCTCTGCAGCGGCTGCCCCAAGGTTGCCGGAGTGCCAAGGCGAGGTCACTCAGTCCACAGGAGTGCAAGGAGCAGTTGGTCAGTCCGTTTCTGTAGGTTTGCGATCTCAGTTAGGCATGCCAGCAGCTGTTCCGCCAGTGAAGCCCAAGGCCCCAGCTAGACCCAAACCCAAAACAAAACCGAAGGCTGACCCAACACAGCGCACCCTTCGTTTTTAGGCCCAAGGCCTGCTAAGCATGGCGCCCAAGCAAGAAGGGCGGCACATATCCACGCAACTCCGCCGTGAGGAGCGGGGATTATCATGGAAATCAGCGGCGACGATAGACCGACAGCGGGGCCGTAAGAAAGCCCGCAAGCAGAAGAAGCGCCGCGAACAATATGAGCACGCTGGCAGGAGAACTGAGGAGGCTTGGCCGCCCCCACCACCTCCACCAGGACCTCGTGCGGAGGCGAGACATCGTGAAGATGAAGAGCTGCCGTACGACTTGGAGGAGCCCTCGCCTTCAGGGCTGAGGGCTCCCTCCACTGCGGCTGCTTCCAGCAGCCAGGGCCCAGCACGGGAGGAGCCCTCGCCTTTAGGGCTGAGGGCTCCACCCCCTACCGCTGCTGCATCCAGCAGCCAAGGCTTACCTTTGCAACGACTTCCAGAAGCTGAAGAGCCACCGGTGGACCAGGACGACTCCAGCAACTGTCTTCAATCTGACAGCAGTGAGACACCACAGCCTGCAGTCGCGCTGAAAGATCGCCCAAGTGACTTTGGCCCTCTTCTTCATGAGGATGGCCTAATCACTTTCTTATGTGCAGCTGCGCCCCAGGTGAAGCATCCGGTGAACCACTACCAGTGCCTTCCGGAAAGCCTTGAAGTTTACCATGACTTTGTCACTGGTGGGCGAACAAAAGCTGCTCGAGCGAGACGGCTGGGTTTCGGAAAGTCCCGGACAGTTTACGTTGACCCTGGCTCCTCGGAACACGTTCTGAAGTTGGCGCCGCCACAAGGCCACGGGCCAGAACCGGAAGCTTGGAGACGGCTCCCTCATATAGTGCCGTGCACTTTGGATGCGGGTATTCACCTGCTCACGCTTTCTTGGAAGAGCTGCTATGATATCATCCCCACGCATGTTTTGAGGCAGTCTAGGCTCACCCCACTTTCGGTGTGGAGGCCAGCTCCGCCGGACCTTGATATGGTCCGCTACATGATGGCACTGGCTGCGGAGGCCTCCCGTTTCTACAATCTCAAGGATCTTGGCTTTTTCAACTTTGGTGTTGATGCCCGTGGCTTCATTATGATGTGGGACACCGCAGACTGGCTTCCATGGGAGGGTCAAAGGGCACACTGGCCGAACAGACAGCGTGCCTCGGCTTTCTGGAGCGCGGTCAAGAGGAGTGTTCCAGACCACTTTCAGGAGCTACTCCAGCTTGTCAGCAACGCCTCGCCTGAGGAGGTGCTGCAACGGCTACGACCACTCCTTACGCAGCACTACAAGTGGTGCCTGCTACAGCAGGGAGTTTTCCTTGGTGACTAGCCTACTAGGTGAGCCAAGCTGCCCTGGCCGTCGAGTGGAAGGCCGCCTGAACTTTTGCTTTTCACTGCCTCCTGGGCCCTCGCCTTAGGGCTGAGGGCCCGAGGCTGTGGCAGGGTGCAGCTCAGCCTGGGCACTGACCTGGACCAAAGGTCCCGCAGCAGGCCGTGACAGCCTTGTTGCTCTGCAAAATGGTTTTCAAGCACTGTACTTCAGCATCGCCTTTGCTTCGTAGCCTGCCTGCTTCCGCTTCTCCGTGCTCTGGCAGGCTTGCGGTGCCCAGGAGCCCGTTTTCTGCAGGATCCTCGGTCCGGTCAGCCCGAGTGTCCAGCCTTTGCTTTGAGCCTTTGCTTTGAGAGCTAGTTGGCAGGGATCAATCTCTTCAGGTGTGTCTTTAAGGAGCAGGAGATCTGACAGCAGGAACACGAAAGCTTTTGCCGCTTCGCTGTTTCGTACAGGACTACGCCTCGCCAGCTGGGCTGAGGCTTGCGGTGCCCAGGAGCCCCGTTTTCTGACCACGCCTCGCCAGCTGGGCTGAGGCTCGTACTCTTGAAGCTTGTGCAGGGCCAGTACAGGGTACGTGTAGTCAACAGGGGGGGGGGGGGGCCTTCCGTGCAAGAGTGTGCAGTGTGTGCAGGTGTGTACCCTGCTGCCCATCCCTCTTTTTGCACTGCAACAGTGTAAACCTGCTTGACACACCTGTTTTGCAGCTACTTTGGTTTGCAGCTGCACGGTCTCCTTTTCTTCTTGGCCGCCAACTGAGCTAAGTGAGTTAGTTATGAAGGTCGCTCAACCGCTACCTCGCCCAATGGGGCCTGAGGTTACTTGAGCCAGACACCTTCCTGTACAGTCTTCCGATTTTGAATAGGGCTTTGAGGCTACTGGTTGTACTGGAGCCTTCAAGGCGTACTCGCTTAGCCCTGGCTTTGCTACAGCCAGTTTTAATTAATGCATGCTTCAGGGTTTCTTCGGACAGGCCTCTGGCCGTGGACTTCTCGCGCCACCGGAATGATTTTCAATCCTCCTGCTGTGCGGGCCTCAAAGTTTTGCCCTTTCCCTAGTGAGCAGTCAGCAGGTTTACTGGGAGCAGTCTTCGGGCTTCAAAGTCTCCACTCGCAGAGAGCATAGCAGGGCGTTGTTCCCTGCGCCAGCACGAAGTTGAGTTGAAGGGAAAGCGTCGCTCCCTGCGCCTTGTTGAGGGGAGTGCGTGGGCCCCGCGCTAAAGGTACCGAATTGAGGGGCGCTGCTCTGTGCAAGGTGAGGTTGAGGAACCCCTGGGCTGTGAGGGCTTGAGGCTAGGCACTTTACGGCATGCCGCCTCGCCTAGCTTCACTGAGTGACCTCGCCTCTGGGCTGAGGTCACTGCAAGCTGAGTGCCAGACTGAGGGTAGTGTCAGTTAGGTTGTACAGCTTTCACCTCTCAATGTTCGGCTTGAGCACCTGTCAGGGTTTGTCTTTCCCAAAAAGGGCTTGAGGAGTCTTGTCACTCTCCTTGCCAGTACAGTAGGGCTCTGACAGAGTGCTTTCTTGGGGCTGAGGTCTTTTTGACTTCGCCCAGGGTCTGTGCAGGACTAGGTTGTGCATACCACTTAATTCGGTGCAGCTTTTCGGACAGGCCTCTGGCCGTGGACAAGCGCCACTGGAATGAAAATCCCATTTGGCTCAAGTCTGGCTCGAGCCCTGCTTTCAGAGGTGGGTGTTCTGCGTAGGGAGCGTAGCTGTTTTCAACTGAGCCTCTGGGCCTTAACTGTCGTTGGGGCAACAGGACTCAAACAGGAATCCCAGCTTATCCTTTCGCGAGCCATACTTGTGCAGTGCTGGCATTTTGCCAGTCACTTTCCAGCGTGCAGGTGCCGGCCCTCGCCTCCAGGGCTGAGGGCTGTTCACTCGCCTCAGGGGCTGAGAGAACAGTCATGGCAGGAGGTAGGTACTATGTGTGCAAAACCTGTGGTCCTGCAAGCTGGATTTATGCCTCTAAAGTGCAGAAGTTTGCGAAGTGCAGTTGGTGTGGCAAGCCTTGGCCCGCTGATGTACCGCAGGCACCTTGGAGAGAACCTAGCAGGCCGCGACCTCGAACTCGGCAGCCGAAGCCAGCTAAGCTAGCAAGCTGCCTTCAGAAGGTGTGGTCCACCTTGCCTGCAGATGTGTGTTTGCAGTTTGAGCAGGCTGGCTTTAAAGTGCCGGCCCCGAAGCAGGAAGATGTTGACCTACTCAGCCTTTTGCAGCGCAACCGTGATGATCTCCCCCAGGAAGTCCTGGATGCTCTGCCAGCAGCACCGGTCCCTAACCCAGTGCAGGAAGGCAAGGCTGCAGGTGTTGAGTGGCGCAACTCCGTCGGTAAGTTGCGCGACCTTGGCCAGCGTAAGTTGAAGCTGCAAGAAGACATTGACCTGGCCAAGGCCAATCTGAGGGCCCTGCTGACAAAGATGCAGGACTTGCAAGCTTCCATCCAGGAAGCACAGACTGAGGTCAACAAAGCCACTCAGGATTATGAAGCTAAGGTTCTCACACAGTGCGCAGAAGAGGCCAGTCATGGAGTAGATTCTGTGTTGCAGGCCCTGGGTATCGAGGAGGACACCCTCACTGAGGCCCAAAAGCGCAGTATCGCTGCTCTGAAGAAGGACAATGCTGATGAGGCCAAGCGCCGCAAGACCGAGCAGCAGGATCGTTTCCCGCCTGGATTGCTCCCGAAGTCTACGGCACCCCCGGCCGCCGAACCCCAGCAAAACGCCGCAGACGCTAAGGACTTGAACAGCCAGTCCGGCAAGGCGCGCAGTCGCTCGCCCAAGCGCGGTGACAAGGGTGACGAGCTTTAGGATCCAGGTGGGGGGTTGCGCGGGGGCCCCGGGTTTTGTCTTCCGGTTCTTTCTCTGAGTGAGGTTTTGCGTGATCTGGAAGTTTCGGAGCCAAGCGCAAGCCCTGACGCGTCAAACACCTTTTTCAAGTGCTGGCACTGTGGCCTCCCTTTCGTGCCAAATGCCGTGGGAGTTCAGTTTTGCATTTGCAGTGCCGAAATCCATGTCAATTACGCATCAAAACATGCTCAGGCCAGCATTTGCAGTGCTGACGTGGGCCTGGCCGTAGCCTCACCACCGGGTTCGAGGCTCGGATCTCCCTTGCAAGACCAGCCAGCCCAGCTCGAGGATGGGTTTGTTTTCCCCAGGACTGTGTCCCGTCCCTTTTGGCCATCCCCTAGCTGTGCCCTGACTGGCCCAAAGTTTTTCCATCCCGCCATGTTTCATTCGCCGGAGGAGGGCGCCTCTTCGGAACCTAAGGTTGTGAAGAAACCATTGGTCAGGGGACCGATCATGTCTTTCTTGGAAGAGCATGGTTCCCGCTTTGACCATGCTGCGCCAACCCCACAGGATGCTGAACCTTTTCCTGGCCCACAAGGCTCACCGTCCCCTGCAGTGTGCAAGGTTGGGAAGAGCCTTGGTCGGTCAGGCTGGGGCTCTCTTCTCAACCTGAGTGCATATAAAGCCCTGCATCCGGACTGGCACCATGAGCCTGACCTATTGCGCCTCGCCGAAGGGCTTGAGGAGCAGAGCCAGGAGGGCACCCTTGAATACTGGACTCTTTTCAGGTCCCTGGAGGCCACCGAGGCCCGTGATAATAGCCTTGAAACCTGGGCTCGCATCGCCAGAGCTTCGGAGGACCTGGTGCACTCCACTTCCAGAGGCCGGGCCCGTACCTTTACTTTCGTTTCGGCCAATGTGACCTCCTGGAGACCAGAGCTCAGGCAGTGGTTGGTTTCACTGCAGTGTGACGTAGCCCTGATTCAGGAGCACCACCTCTCTGAAAAGGCCTTTCATGCTGAATCGGTTGCCCTAGCTAAGGCAGGCTATCATTTGCATGGCCAGCATTCTCCCGCCCGTAAGCGCGAAATTGGAGGTGTGATGGTCTGTGTCAAGGCTCATTTGCAAGCCAGGCACGTTCATACCTTTCAAGATCCTGAAACGGGCTGTGGCTTTGTTGCGATTGCTGTCCGGGTGACCGGCTTCGACTTAGCCCTCATCTCTTTGTATCTCGAGTCAGGTAGTTCCTTCGAAGGCCGGACCAACACAGTGGTCCTTTCCCATCTGTATGGCGTGCTGGCCTCGCTCAAATGCCCCTGGTGTGTGGTGGGGGACTGGAACATAGATTCCTGTGAGGTCCTCGCCACCAGGGTTGAGGACCTCACCAGGGGCCGGCTCCTTGGAACAGGAATGCCTACGGCTGGCACCGCAGCAGAGCTAGATTATGCACTGGTCCACCCGCGACTAGCCTCACATGCCTCGCTTGAGCTTGTTTGGGATGTCCCTTTCAAACCGCACGCCGCTCTGATGTGTACCCTTCCCCTCAAGCCGCTGCAGGACCTGCAACCAAACCTGAGGACCCTGGCTGACTCCTTTGACCCCATCACAGATGACCAGCGCCTTTTGACACCGACGGTTGTCTCCCCGCAGCAGGTCGTTTTGCTTGAGATTGAAGCAAGTGACCCCGTGTCTCTTGCGTTTGCGGAGTTCTCTGCCACAGCTGAGGCGTCTGGTCTGTTGGGAAAGAATACAGGCAGGGGGGTTCACCTGCCCACGGTCCGCCAGCCGGCAGTGTCACAGCCAGCCCAGGATTACCAGTGGTTTGGGCAAGAACACGCGGTCTGGACTCAGCTTGCGACTAGGTTCAAGGCCGGGGGTCCTAGCCAGGTAGTCTTGCTGCTGCTTTCCAATCTTGCTCCCGAGCATAAGCAGTGGGTAACGGAAGTTGAGGCTGCCGTTTCTAACCAACGTGATCTCACGATCTTTGTCTCGCGAGCTGAGACGCAAGCCAAAGCTGCCATGCAAGCCCAGCAAAAGGAACAGGCCAATTCTTATCAAGCTTGGCTGTCGGGGGCTCTGTCGGCAGGTATGGGGCCAGTGTACCGAGCTCTTAAAAGCCATGAACAAACTCTTGCTCGGCCCTTTAGAGATCAGTCAGCTCTGGCCCGAGCCTATTGTCGCATGGAATTCTGGAGCCACATTTGGGATGCGACAATTGTTCCCCCTCAAGTCCAATTTTCTGCAGAGCGCCTCGCCTTGAGGGCTGAGGCCTCGCAGCAGGCACAGGACCTTCCATCATTGGCTTGGGAACAGGTCAAGAAAGTGTGCTTGGCCACAGGTAATAAGAAAGGCGGCCTCGACGGTTGGTCGTACCGGGCTTTGCGAAATCTCCCTGACTTCTGCTATAAGCAGCTTGCCGAGCTTTTCTCCCGGGTTGAGGCGGACCTCACCTTGCCGCTTCAAATGCTAACGGTCCAAGTAGCCCTCCTGGCAAAAACCCCTGAGAAAGAGCGCCCCATTTCGCTCACTTCGGTACTTTGGAGAGTTTACAGCAAACTGAGGCGCCCACTTCTGGAGAGCTGGCTGAAGTCGTATGCTGCTTGTGCTCCTTTCGACTCTGCTACACCAGGGCACACCTCACTTGACCCAGCATTATCCCGTTTGATAAAAGCTGAAGACCACAAATTTCGCAAAATCACCTTCATCACCTTATTTGTTGATCTTGAAGGCTTTTATGATGGTATTGATTTTTCCCGCCTGATCGCCCAGGGAAAAGCTTTGGCATTTCCACCTATGCTTTTGGAATTATGTCTTCAGTTATATCATGGGCCACGTTGTCTCCACGGAGAAGGCGTCAGCACGGTAGCTCTGTGGCCCAAAAAGGGCATTTTGCAGGGGTGCCCGTACGCGCCCACGGTTGCCAAACTCACCACTCATGCCCCGTTGCAGGGCATTTCTCAGCAGCCGGGTGTTAGTCACGCTGATCTGTGGCTAGACGACATCAGTGTTGATGTGTCACATGCTGATCCGGAGGTCGCAGCCTCCCTTGCTCTCTCAGCTTCCAGGAAGCTGGAACAGCTTTTGTCAGTTGAAAAGCTTCGCATCAACAAAGTCAAGACAAAGTTTGTATGCAACAACGCTCAGGCGACGAAAGCCTTGAACAGCCTGCGCGGTGATGCCGATCCCCAGGTTGCGGACTTGGTCCGCGATCTGGGAGTTGATTCAGCAGGCGCCAAACGCCGACGACTAACACAAGCCTTGAAACGTTTTAAGGTTGGCCGCGCACGCAACCAAAAACTTCACCGACTCCGTACTGGGGGTAAAGCGCACAGGCTGTACGCCACCTCCATCCTCAAGGCCGAGACCTATGGATGTCAGGGACAGGGGATTTCCCCCAAGCGGCTTAAGGTTATCCGTTCTTCCATCTCTAGGCACGTCGGACGGTCCAAATGGGGTTCGGTAGATGTGTCACTCGACTGTATGTCTTTCCAGTGCCAGGACCCCCTGCTTACAGTTGTTCTAGCGCAGGCTGACGCCCTGTTTCGTATGTTTGGCCCCTCCACGGCGCAGGGCTGGGTGATCCTAGGACGCACATGGAAGGTGGCTTGGGCGCGACAGGAAGCGGCCGTGCATGGCTGGAAGTGTGTTGCCGGGCCGGTCGCCGCCATGGTTCAATACTGCATTGACTTGCGCATTAATGTCAGTGATCCTCTGCGCTGGGTTCATAGCAGCGGGGTTCTTCTGCTTGATGTCGCTAATCCTGCCCTTTTCTTGTCAGTTCGTCGCTTCCTCACTCAGGTCGTCGCACTTGAAAGAACGCTCCGGTTTGGTGCGGTACCCACGGCTCACGGGGCCCAGCAGGGCGTCGACTGGTCAGTCCACCGGAAACTTTTGAAGGCTTCAAAGCCCTCGTCCCCACGATGGGCTTTTCATGCAGTTTGGCAAGGACGCACCCTGCACTCGGGTAATGGCGGCCTAACGCACTGCTCCTGTGGCGCTGAAAATTCTCTCCATCATGTTTACTACGAGTGCCCTCTTGCGCCTGCTAAACTTAGCCCGAACCTCCGGGGCTTCCAGCGCCGCCATGAGGAGCCGTGTTTTTGGCTAAGGGGTATGGTTCCCCGAGCTTGGACCACGCCGCAGCTGTCTAGCGCAGCGCTCGAAACTCGAGTCACGGGGCTCTTCTGCCATCCACCGGTAAATGCCGAGGGGTTGTTTGTGTCCACCGATGCCAGCGGAGGACCCAATACAAGGGACAGTCGCTTGAGATGCGTGGGCTGGGCAGTTATCTTATGTGAAAAGTGTGAGGATGGCCTGAAAGAAATCGGTACAATCTCAGGCTTGCTCCCCCCGGGCAGCACTGTGCCTCAAGGTGAGGCCTACGCGATCATTCAAGCACTCAAAGCAACCACAGGCAGCTTCGACCTCACGAGTGACTGTCAACCTGCGATCCGGGCGCTGCAGGCCCGCAAGCTCACCGTCCAGCATGATCCGGACTGGGGGCTTGTTTGGCAGGATCGCTCTCGAGCCCAGCCGACCTGGGTACGGAGCCACTGCACTCCCGAAGCCTTCGAGAAGGAGTTCCCTTCTCAGCAGCGGCGACGAGTACTCAACGAAAAGGCTGACTCCCTGGCGGGTCGTAGGGCTGCAGAGGCCGTTTCGCCTCACTTTGTGCGCAAGGTGAAGGAGTTGGACCGGGTTGCGCGCGAGCTAAACCAGTTTCTCGCCTCTAGGGCTGAGAAACTGATTAAGGACAAGACGCAAGGTTTTGTTCCCAGAGCCGCCAGAGACTCCCAGAGCCAGTTTGAGAAATCTAAGGCAAGGGCGACAACTGTTTCGACCCAGAACAGTTCTTTACCTAACAAAAAACAGCGCCTGAAGCAGTTGCTGGACTCCCCTGATCCAGCACTTGGTCATGATTGGAAAGCCCGCGAGACTAAGGCCGCCAACAACTTCTCGGTTTATTGCGAAAAATGCAATTTATATATTGAACAATGTCATTCGCAAAATCACACACCCGT